ATCTATGGAATATCGCCTTACATCAATGCCTGGCATGAGGAAAGCTAACAGAGATTCAGCGTTATGTGTGCAATGTACGTGCAGTGAGGAAGAGCGAAAAAATCAAATCTCCGTACTAGCAAAGAGTTGTGGAAAAAATATAATAGCCTTTTTTAATTCACTTTGCGTGTGAACTGCACCTGCTGGTCACAGACCTCGTTGGATCTTGTGCTGTATTCTTTCTTGGCAGATGCTTGAGTTATGCAACCTCATGATGTGGCTGTAATTCTACATCTTATCTTTTAACGCAGTGAGGGTGAAGGATAAGGAAAGGAAGCAGGAGGACTGCATAACGCAAAAGGGACGGAAGACACGGTGAGCAGGTCAATAGACGCTACGGAGAGGATACGACGAAGTATCAATAGAGGAGATCGTACGCGGTAAGCAGAGAAATCCACACAAAAACTAGAGAGTGAGACTGGAAGCAGGAGAGGGTCGCAAATCAGGTCAACAATTCTAATGTATATGTAACTACATAAACTACTCTGACATACATATACACCCTAAAGTGTCCATCAATTTATATCAATGATTAATTTATCATACTCTCTGCTGTCGTGTTGTGTGCTCGTGTGAATGGTGGCAGTGTTCTCCCCTTCCATCGTCTTGGGTAGTCCGTGTAGTGGTGTGTGCTGTGGTGACTCATTTGTATATATAATACGTGCTATTCATTGACTATCATATGGATATTCTACTTCACTAACTGCTCAGTTTTAATGTATATTCTACTTCTATATCATATATACTGCTATACATACACATACACATTGATTCATATCATGCACTCATACATAATGCTTATACTACTCTGTCTAATAATACCATTATACTCATATATATACCTATTAGTTCGTACTTATCTGATAGTAGTATTTCTCATCTATACGCCTAGGTCCAGCTATACTCATTAGGGATCTCTTACTCCTATCCGTATATATAATGGATTCAGTGTTTGTGTTATCACTACATATGTAATGTGCTAATGTGTAGGTGCGCTTCATGTATCTTATATAACCTGCCCTCCTGAATGTTTAGTATTCGTGTCCCTGTCATACTATACCTAGCCTATCATGGATACCTTATATTACTATACCTATACCTATCATGATCTATTTATATATATCATCAGTACCTATTACTAATTGAATCCGTTATATTAATGTACCTAAACTGTATATAATATATATGTGTGTATAAGACCACACAACAAACATATACACACACATTATGTATAGTCCATATTACATATATATCATAGAATCTCCATTCTATATTCGTATATCTATAGCTATATACGCGTATATCTTATCTACATGTATCCTCCCTTCCAACTACTTATATACACATGTGTATGATCCTATTACTGTGTGTGTTTGTGCTGTGTGGTGTGTGGTGCACGTGCGTGCTGTTAATACCGTGTTCTTGTCGTATACGTAGTTCACTCCACTATGTGTGTGTGGTGAATAAGACGTATTTTATACTATATATACCTAATATGATTATATTCCTCACCTATATATATGCTATTCATGCAATCCTCTTATACCAGACCAGCCCTCATGATCCTCGCATCCATATGAGCCTCATAATGATTATCACTTACCATATTATAACGAATAGCTATCACTCGTACCTCAATTGTAGTAACCCTTATCATATATATAATTACGACATACATATATATAACATACATATATAATATACCCATCGCAGTCAAAACTGAGCCTATCGAAAAATTACAGTACATTTTAGTACTTTCATACGTAATATATTTAGAGTGCTCCACTATATATACAATACATCATCTACATAGCACATAATCTATCAGTAACCCAAAGATTTACATTGTATAAATTTTGCTATACACTAGAGCATATGAGAGACGCTACACCTATAGCATGTAGATATACACTCGCAGAACGTATACGTTTCACATCCAATGTGATTTATTCATACATATATATCGTATATCTTACTAACTAAATCAAAGTAGATTGAGACTTACATCAGAGGATGCTCTAGGGAGTGAGTGGGAGCGTATAGAATATATATGTGGGGTAGTATATGGTGAGTTACATATGAGGGAGGGTAATAAGTGGTATGGTGTGTATGGGTAATGCGGTATGGCGGGTATAAAGTGGATAAATCGCTGTATATAATACTATCCTATCTTTCACTCTATATATGCTATATATCATATAGGGGGGATTAACAGGTATAGGACATATATATATACTATAGGAAAGAGGGGAGGGGGTGTGAGGGGGGTAACATTATATTATATTCATAAAATATATATGATCGGATTAATAAGATTCATACACTGCCATGAGGCATTTCCTGCTTACAACAAGAAATACCATCGGAACAGCAGAATCTATAGAAAATTGGGAAGTATCATGAGCAGGGCCAACTATTGTAGTTATGAGGTGGAGCTATTCCATACCAGTGATGGCTAAATATTCGTCACGTTTCAGTCTCCCTTTCCATATCCACTCACTTTTGTACAGTGTATAGGTAAGGAGCAATATGTGATGAGTTTATTACTTTGTAATAATTACTTAATATGTTTAGATATTTTGTTGGCAGTGTTCACGCTGAGGGGTCACTGTGGGTTTCCATTGGGTCTTCCCGTTCTTTGTAAAATACCTTTTTATTCATCGATATGAATGAAAAGATTCCTGCTTCTCTCCAAAACAAACAGTATTGTTGTATTGCCATTGCTGTGCGTAAATTTGTAGATGATTGGTGAACAGAATAGGCTGGGAATTTTTATTTCGAAATAGTGGCCATTGGTGTTTGTGGGAATAATATTGACTTGAATCTATAGATGATTAGTACATGTCATGAGGTTCAACAGTTTTTTCGTATAGTATAACTCATGGAGCCTATGTATGAGAGGTTCTTTTTTATTTCTATTTTTATTTACTGATTCTCTTTTATTATAAATCAGGTAAGTTTGTTTCAGATGAACCTATGAATGGCAGCGTGAAAAAATGATTCCTTAGGGTGTCAGTAATAGATGCTTTGGTGAATATTAAATAAGAACATTTTCAACATTTTAAAAAAATCATGTATACCCTTGCATTCAAGTATATGTACCCGCTATTTGAACGTTTGAGGTTACGGTAAACATTACGAAAAAAAAGTCTTTCCCTGAAGTTGGTGTGCAATTAAAAGAATTGAGCACAGATTCCCAAAGGTAGATAATGATATTCAGCCAGGTATATAATCGTAATACATACATGACTGCAGATGTAGACACATCATGCATTCGTTATTGTATTGACTCAGCACTCATAATGCCAGCTCCGTGACTTGGTTTCTCTTTAAACTGGTTATGTATCAAGAAATAAAACAAGCATTTGTTTCAATGACAGTTTATTTCTTGACAGACAATTTAAACTGAATATATAATACTTCTGATCATGCTATTCCCAAAAGAACTTAAACAGTACAAGTATTGTGATACATTTAAGAGCTACAAAAGTCAATTCAAATGAAGTCTTGAGGAAGGCCGCGTCCATATCCATTGGTATACCAAGAATACCACCTAATACCCCACACTGCAGTTATAACAGTAAACAAAAACACCAATCATAACTGATATGGTAGCTTCGTGGTACGGTAACAGCTACGGCTTCCTAGTATTAATTGTGAAAACGCTCTGGGTACAGCAACTTGTTCATCTTCTTCGGTAAATTCCTCCAGAATTCCAAGTCCTGTAGAAATGAAATAGAAGTTTAATCCATGCATAGAAATCCCTCGTACTATATGAAGGCCATGTCACCTTAAAAAGCCAACTGCCTTGTCAAAATCCTAGTTACGGAGGAGAAAGAACTGAAAAAAAAAGCATTTCAAAGACAAGTAGGCATAAAGTACTAGCTAACTTCTTATCAGGTTGTTGAGATAAAGATAGTCAGTGTGACGCGTGTATAGCAACATCTGAAAGAATCTTTGCAGTTTAAAGGATAGATGTTTACATTGATCCTTATTACTTGTCGACTGACAAGGTATGAATTACCACTAACATAAAAGGAGCGTTCAAGTAAACATGCCGCAAATTGTAATTTTTCTTTAAATATAAATATTTTTAAAAAAAATCCACACCAGTATCTTGAAACATGTTTGCGGTTTTTCAGCCATAAGGAGAAATATCAAATAAGTATGCAGACACATCTTAATCAGTGTTTTCAACATGTTCCAAACATGTTTGTATGTACAAGGCCTATGAATATGTTATCTATATTACCTGGCGATCGTCGACCACCTTCATGGTTGGGGAAGAGGTGATTCCGAGGTAAGAAGTCTTCGAGACCTCTGTCGGTGTCCATTTGAAACCCAGTGACATGTCCGGCGTCGGGTCGCTGGAGATATAGTTAAATTCTTTATGTGCAATTAATTCACAGAACCATAATCTGTTACAAGTTTAATGATATCTTTTTAAAATAGGTTTTATTGGTATTAGGTTCTTGATGAGATTTAGTTTTTCTTGTAATTGTTATGGTTTAGGTTGTCAATGTCTCTTACCCAGTGGCGGCGAAGTTGGTCCAGAGGTCCCATGATCCGAGACACAAAGAAATCCTCTTCCGTACTCAGGCTGATGTTGAGATATTTAAAGTCGAACAGGTACTGCAAATCGTCCATGTGGCTTACATCTGTGTGAATTTATGGTGGTTATTACAGACAATTACTTAGAAAAGGACAAAATGTACATTGATAATGAAGTAGGTTGCTATATCAATGAAATTTCTAGTCTCATGTCATTACAATATATATATATATATATAATTTATGTATATACATATATTTATATACATGCATACATACATACACAGAATCCATACACATATACATTCACATATATTTGCCAATAATAATAATGATGGTAATATCAACAATAACAACAATACAAGTCCTTACCATTCAATATCCAATCAGGTGTAGGTCCCATGTAAAGGTCAGTGAAGGTATGTTCCACGATGCTGCAACTCGTAGGCGTAGACACTGTTGCCAAAGGCAGTATTTCTTGCATGGTTTTCTATAGCATCCATGGTGCACATATTGAAGTAACAGTCACCAATGAGCTTGGGATGAACAAGAATGATATTAGGCCTACGTACTGCTCTCAAAGAAAAAAACACAAAAAACTCACCTTCATTATTCTATTGAAACTCCCTGTTTTTTTTAACATATCAGAAAAATAGGTGACGGTGTTGCTCATTTTTTTTTTTTCACCAAGAAAATAATGAGTGAATATATTCTCCAAGAGAACACCTGTTGCAAATCCCAGAACCATCCTGCATGCAAACACAAACAGCTCAGATACTTTTCACTGATTGAGAAGAAAACTAATATGAAACTCACGAACCGAACAATGCAAAAATGGTCCTGTCTCCCGGCTTCTTACCTTGACCAGGGTGTGGACCTTGCTCATGTCAAACTCAATGGGACCCATGTAACGGTGGAAGATGAGGCGGCCAATGAAGTCAATGTTGTCGTCCCAAACATTTAATCCCATTATATAGGGGCCTATTATGCCGAAGCTCTTTATCATAGCGTCCACTACGCCGTCTTTCAAGAACGCTGGAAGAATGAAACTATCAAGATTTTGAAGGTTAAACTGGTCATATCACTCAAAATCGCCACATTATCCCAAGATATATGACAGAGTAAATCGCATATGGCTAGAACAATTAACGTTCCTGCAGATACCATGAAAGACGCTGACCCACTTACTTCGGACATTGAGCGCGCCTTCGTCTCGTGTCTTGCCGGCGATGATGTCGACACGGTTGTAGCGGCCTTCCCTGACCAGCGTGGCGGGATGGTCCGGGAGGAACTCTCCGTCCACGCGGGGGCCCATCACGTAGGGGGTTGGCTTGGAGTTGGGCAAAGATTTAGGGATTAGGTTTTTTACTCTAATAACTGGGTTTAGCGAGGTAAAGACCTCTGCAATGCATTAATAAAAGAAAAAGACCATGCTTGTGGATGAGCGATAAAAAGGGATCTATGACTTTTTTTTTTCTTTTTACTTCAACAGCTGGGTTTGAGAATGGGGATGAATTTATCGAGTAGTCAGTATCAAAGCAGGTTCATATATCTTTAGTAAATTACAAAAATTTGATATACTCCATCTATACTTCTGGTCAGCAGAAATATGATCACAACTTGGAAGTTTATATCATTTGCTGTCCAAATTAGGAAAAATCAGAATTTCATTGTAAATAGTAATTTCTATCAGCCATTTTGGGGATTACTATCACTGTGACATCGTGAAACAAGCAAGCTTCCTCTGGAGGCAGTTTGAAAATTATTGGATTGGTAACAAAGGCAAATCAAGTATCTGACCAAAGAAATTCCATGAAAAAAAAGAAAATGCCTGTAATCTTCAGATATCTTACTGTCAACTTGCACCTAACGATTAGAACTTCACTAGGTTTTGATCAAAGACAAGAATAGGAAATAGTCCTTCGCCTTTTGCCTAATGAGACCCCAGTGGGAGATGGTCGGGATCAAATAACATGAAGAGAAAACAAAAACCTCAAATAAAAACTTTATCATAATCAAAGCCTACCATTTTGAGAAGCGCAGCGGTCAGCTGATCAGCAGGGACCTTCTTCAGGCAGTCAACAAGGTCTGAAGAATTCGGATTCTCTGTCGCTCCAGGACAGTCCAAGATGCTACCGATCTGACCTGCTATGTCCCTATGGTCCTCCCGAACTGACCAAGAGCACAGAGCTGTTCCTGACTGCATGATGGCTCGCTTGAACAAACCTATGGCCGGCAAGAAATACAGTAAAGTAAAATTAAATGGTCAATAGAATACAACGATGTAGTTTTTACAATGAGACGAGATGGAAAAGTTTCCTCGTAAAACTGCTAAATGTGGTCTTGCTTCATCACGCTTTTCCAGATATCAGTAAAATAAACTGAAACTGAAGAGAGAAGCAGTTGCATTACTTTTACCATTCATCTCTAAGAACATTATGTAACTCTATTCGGTAAAAAATCAAATTTCCATTCTACCTTTCGACATTGGAGACAAAATGTGGTAGTGCACCGACGCGCCTCCCGCGTTCTGTCCAAAGATGGTGACCTTGTCTGGGTCACCGCCAAGGGCATGAATGTTGTCCTGAACCCACTTGAGGGCCAATGTCTGGTCCTTCAGCCCTAGATTGCCCGGGAGCTCAGAGTCCCAGTCGAAAGGTATCCTACAGAAGCAATTATCCTGAATTACTGAAGCAAGAATGAGAAGGGTGTGCGTATTTCATGTTCTCACGTTATCATACTTTTGCAAACCGACAGAATTTCACTTTCAATCGCATTATGAGAGAAATGATGTGTACAACTTGATTTATACAACCAAAGAATCCCAATGTTCATTATGAAGTCCACTGACATTCATAACTTGAAGACCCAGAGTATAGACTTGCTATGTGAAATGCATGTTGTGCATATATCAAAACTATTGGTGAAATATGGAGTATACCTTTAATATTAAGCAAAGGCACATTGTTTTCAAAAATGATATAAAACCAGTAGGATATATTCTATAGATACCTTCTGTGAGTCACCTGTACTTGATGAACATATACATGACTGTTCTAGATCTACCATATTTGGTAGATCTAGAACAAACACGCACGTATGCCCACAATAAACTGTATTGTCCTCTCACAAACAGAACACAAAAAATGGTAATGAAAAGAATATTTGCCGTTTAGTAAATGTCTTCATCTGCACCGGAACCGCACACTGCAATGTCTCCACGTATGTCATTCTGTGGATTTCTCTGGTATTGGCTCATTGCCTTTCAGAAATCGCTCCACCTCGTTTCCCTCTTGTGATCACTCGACCCCTGCTAGCTCTGATCTTCGTCGCTTTACCGAATTCCGTCCCTAAAACACTACGCTACACACTACAAAAGCCTACATCTGCTGTTGCTACGTTTCCAATTCTATGGCTCCCGATAAAGTCCAACAAGTCCCTACATCAAATGGCGCCAACCGTTATAAAATAAGAACCTTGGAGTTGAAGACTTAAAGGCCCAATCACACTAGCACTTTTCCGTCATTTTTTTACGTTTCCGAATGAACTCCGTATGAAAATCATGTAAAGAAACATGACGCTATCGGAGTGAGGTCCCGGGAATTACACGAACATTCTCATACATATTAGGTTATTTTAAAGAAATATGAAGATGTATTATTGTATATTCGAATGTTCTAAAATATTATTAGCTTATGTTTACATTCACTCATCCTATCTAATTTATTAATAGCACAAAATCAACATGGAAATTAGGCAGACGGAAACGGTCGTAACCGTCTTGGTCTGGGAGGCGTTCCGTTTGTAGACGATCCTTGTGGAGAAAGAAATTGACGGAAAAGTGATAGTGTGATAGTTTAGTTTGGGTTTTGTACTTTTTAGACTTTCAGGATCACTGTAATGCCATACACCCTAGTTGGGTTCTTTGGCGATATCAGAAGTGGTCAATCTTCAATTTTGAGATGTTTTCAGCATATAATTAGTCACATATTGGCTAAATTTTGCTAGATTATTACACAGTAATTTAAAAAGCAGTAGTCTTAATCCTAACCTTCTACAATTGAAAAGCGAATAGAAAAATTTAGCAGGATGATCCAGGTTCAAGGCTCCCATTAAAACCAATTTATTTCAATGATAAAAAGCCCATATAATTACGTATTTAGTTTGTCTTTGTGAAATGAGACAATATCATTACAGAAATTTTGATAATAAAGGACCTTTAAATTTCAAATACTATAATCAAATATAAGCAAGATAATCATGTCATTTTTTCAACCTTACCACATCTTGCTAACATGGATATCTACATGCTTTTCCTTACGTTCACAGCCAACAATGAGTACTATATGCAAGCCTATACCTATACATTGTAGAACAGACTGGGGTCGCGATCATGTTAAAGGTCGTGATGCATGACCCCCTGTGCAAATACCCTCACAGTAACGAATGAAACCTCCCGACATTCCATAGTGCTGTCAAAATCTCAAAGGACCGCCGCAAAGTTGACAGTAGTGTGTTGTAAATCGGGACCCCGAAGAATACAAAATAACAGAATAGAGAATACCAAACACATCAAATATGGCTTAAATGTCAAATAGATAAAAAATATTAATAGACGATGAACGAATGCACAATAAACATACAGAGAAGAAAGAAAAACTACAGACCCAGGATTCCGATACGGCTCTGGACGGTGACATACACCACGTCCTTGGCAACCAAGTACTCTGGTCGGTAAATCTCCATGCTACCCATCACAAAACCTCCGGGTAAAAACCACACCATGACGGGAAGGTCCGACTTGTTGGCCTGCAAAAAGAAGGTCGTTCTTAACACCAAGGAATCCATAGGAAGGGGGGGGGACCAATCATAACAGGAGGTCCGGTTTAAAGGACTGCAAAAAGAAGGTCCATAGTAACTGGAAGAAAACTGCAGGAAAGATACAAAAGAATGTAGAGTAAGGTTTAGATTGAAATAACCAAGGAAACGTAACTAATAAAATGACGGTAATTATGGTACTTAACAACTTGGTACTAATATCAGCAGTAATGCTGGTTAGATTTAACGTGGTAAGGTATAAGGGATCATCCATGATTTTCATCATTATCACGAGCGTACAAACCGTCAGCGGGGTGTGTGTGTGTGTTAGACCAGACGTACACTTATTTTTTAATGTGAAAAATGATGATCCGTCAATGGGCGAATCGGCGGCCGTCATGATTCAAATTTCGCGCCATGTCGGTGTTGCTAGCAGGGTTGCCCTCTTTGTAGCAGCATTTCTGGCGTTTTCTAAACATTACATGATAAAGAAAACGGATATAGATAATAGAATTGAACCATACACTATCACATAAATGAATGAATATTGGATTACAGTTACACTGCGTAGGATCAGAATCTGATAATTATAGGATCCCCTGCGTTACTTCCTTGTTTGCTGCAATGCATAAAACAATATACAATAATTGCATCATTAAGCCAATAATGTAAAAACATTTAACAACATTAAATGCACCTGCATCTCTTTATAGAAAATGCATTAGATATATAACAAGAATATGTGACATTGAACCTGTAAGCTTGATTTATCCAAAAACGTATACGACTATTCACAGCGTGTTGCAGGGTTGAAGGTTTAAGTCACTATGAGGCCCAACTGAAGACCAGCTGAATGACATAGGATGAAATTTCCGCGCCGTTCATACCATAATGGCTTGAACAATTTTTATTTGAACATTGGAAAATATCTCAATATTACTTTAAACACTTATCATTTGCATTAAACCATCTGCAGTCATTAACAGAAAAAAAAAAAAAAAGAAAAAAAAAAAATACAGCATATGACAAAAAAAAAAGAATGTAGGCACTCTGTACTGTCCTGCCATCAGACTCGATTTCCATACATTGAAAGAACAATATAACAAGAAAGGGTTTTATTTTGACTTCATATAGAATACAATTAGATAAAAATTATCGATCTCACTATCATTTTTTCGTCCAGCATACGTTACTTTTAACGGGGGGGGGGAGGAGGG